ATATATTCCCACAAAAATATGTTTTCTCAATGAATTGATGAATGATATGAATGATAGCATAAATAAAGAAGTTTTTTGTCGGAAATGTTTATTTCCAAGAAATCCCATATTTTTAAGTTTAAAAAAAGTTTTACAAACAACACATAAATACAAATAAGCCGTTCAACACACAACTGTTCGCATCGACCCAATGGCCAGACCTTCAAAAAATACTGTATAATCGCGGCATAAATTAATTGTAATCTAATGGGGGAACGGGTGATGGCAGAGGGAAGGGGATGGACTAGTATGTGAGCCAATGGAGGGGATTGTTTCAGGGAATTATTGCCTACTTTTACATAATATATAGTGGATAGCGTAAAACGACTTAACACTATGTGTTTTATATAACAGATAACAAAAATATGTAGTAGTTTTATGAATTATTATTTATACATTCAATACATCTATAGCTTGTCGTAGTTTTTTCTGGGCGTTAAACAAGTGGTTGGAAAACAATTTCTGTAATACATTCGCGCCACCAGTCCCTCAGTGCCAGTCCTATCGCTAAGCATACATCTGCTCCTAACGAACAGTGTATTCAATTAATTGTATTTAATATTTAGTCTCTTTTTTAATTGTTTTATTTGTGGTTATATTGTATTTAAAAAGTATTAATAATGGCATCAAATAGAGCCGAAAAAGCGGGTTTCGCTGCCGAAGCGCACAGTAAAGTAAGTAATTAGCTATTTCACTGACCTAGTACACTTTATTTAGAAATAAAACGAGTCCTTCTCTCCACTCGTATCGATGTCTTCATTGAGGAGGTCTTTAATCCACACAAGAATTTGATGAGACAGTTGTGGATCATATTTGGAGTTTATCTAATAGTTTAAAGAATTTAGACTTAATTATTGATATATTTAGACAATTATGTCACGACTGATAAGGAATTGATATATGAAATCCGATTCCCAGGAAAGTGGTAACTCCTGTTCCGTACGATTACTGCATATCCTTATATTGTATTAATTATTGAGATAACAATTGGTATTTATATGAAATACTTGTTATATTTTAATAAATATTGAATACAATCGATAATTGTTTGGATAAGTAATGCAAAAATAACTGTCAATAATGTATGAAAAGTTATGCCAATTATTTGCACAAATGATAACTAATTTCTGAATTCTTTGAATTCAAATGAAATTATTATTTCCCTTATACTGTATTAATAAATAGTAAATCTATTAAATAACATAAAATTCTTGTACTTAATAATTATATGAAATTTTTCAATTAATTTTATAATAATTGAGAACAAGGTTTCAATTAAAACTTAATTGAATTAATAATAAATCAAATTATAGCCAATTTTCTAATAATGAATGATTTTGTGAACAAATTCCTGTAATTATGTCTTATAATTGACTTATTAATGAAGTTATTAATAATTCAATTGCCTTAACGGTTTAATTAATATACAAATATCAAGTTCGTTTTAGGATGTTATGATAATTTTTGCGACTGAATGCCAGTTAATAACATTTATCTAAATATTAATAAATGCTAACGATTTTATGGCATTTATACATATCTGGAAATTCCTGTAGAATTATATTTTACTATTTTTATCGCACCATTGATAACATAATGACATTTATATCACAAATAACTGATTAAATGTAATATTTTTATGTGTTTGAAATGAATTTTTTGTTTAAAGGAGTTTTCAAATAAATTAATTTCAATTGGACTGTCAAACAAAAAATATAATTCATATAAATCTCATTCAGAATATGAATGTTTGAAAAATTTTAATAAAATATTTTTATTAAACAAATACGTGAATAAATATTAATATTTTATAAAACTATAAAAAATTATTCACTTTATCTCATAAATCAAAAACATTATTAAATAAAAAAAATTCAATCTCTGAGGCCTTAATAAACTTCATATAATATAAAAATAAAATATTTGCTAAATATATAGAGTGGAGAGAGAGAGAGAGGCTTGGCTTTGATGTCTGGGATGGGGTAGGGGTTCAAAACTTAAGAGAAAAGTTTTTTTATTACCAACTCTTTCACAAAAGACTTTACAGAATATCTTCGCAACTCTTCTCTCTTTGTCTTAAAAACTAGTCATAAATTTAGCGCAAAAATCAAGGACTCAAACAATTTTTTTATCAATATTTGCTTAACATATAAAACAATACAGATTTATAAGACAAATACAATGCGAATGAGCATATAATTCATTAAACAATTCATAATGAATATTAAAATACTTATTATTCTTGAGAGAAAAGTATTCATTTATATTGAATACTAATTGTATAAGACTTTTATGCGAATATTTTAAGACTTATTTAAATTGTAAATTAAATATCTATTTATTATCTGACAATTCATTTAACAATTCTAAACAATTCTCTATAGATTTTGAATAATAATTAAATGTTAAAATGAGTTAGCATATTATGGCCCATAATATCATTCCCTATTTGTATACTAATTAAGTTTTATAAACCTGAAATAATTAATATATTTGATTAACTTGTTAATTAAGCTCAGAATAATTTCCTAGTATGTACAGGTACACTACAGTACATGTATGTATGATAGCAAATATGTTTATAACAATTCTAAATATGTTATTGGTACAAACAAAAATTTTAAATTGAATTGAAACCATCAATAATATGCATTTCTAAGCCACAGAAGTTTCTAAATAAAGTGTACTAGGTCAGTGAAATAGCTAATTACTTACTTTACTGTGCGCTTCGGCAGCGAAACCCGCTTTTTCGGCTCTATTTGATGCCATTATTAATACTTTTTAAATACAATATAACAAAAACTAATCCACAAATAAAACAATTAAAAAGAGACTAAATATTAAACACAATTAATTGTTCGTTAGGAGCAGATGTATGCTTAGCGATAGGACTGGCACTGAGGGACTGGCGGCGCGAATGTATTACAGAAATTGTTTTCCAACCACTTGTTTAACGCCCAGAAAAAACTACGACAAGCTATAGATGTATTGAATGTATAAATAATAATTCATAAAACTACTACATATTTTCGTTATCTGTTATATAAAACACATAGTGTTAAGTCGTTTTACGCTATCCACTATATATTATGTAAAAGTAGGCAATAATTCCCTGAAACAATCCCCTCCATTGGCTCGCATACTAGTCCATCCCCTTCCCCCTGCCATCACCCGTTCCCCCATTAGATTACAATTAATTTATGCGGCGATTATACAGTATTTTTTTGAAGGTCTGGCCATTGGGTCGGTGCGAACAGTTGTGTGTTGAACGGCTTATTTGTATTTATGTGTTGTTTGTAAAACTTTTTTTTAAACTTAAAAATATGGGATTTCTTGGAAATAAACATTTCCGACAAAAAACTTCTTTATTTATGCTATCATTCATATCATTCATCAATTCATTGAGAAAACATATTTTTGTGGGAATATATATATTCAGCAAAAACTGTTAAACTAATTACTATTTTATTTATCGAAATACAGTACTTAATGAAATTAGTTTTTCTTAAAATTTTATTTAATATTTTAATGGCTTTTATCCTAAAATTTAAAACTTTATATGTTTAGAGATAGATAAACAGTATATTTTTGGACAATAAAACAATTGTCTATTATTATAAATAGAAAGCTCCACACAATATTTTAACTTTACAATAATTATTAACTTTATTATTATTATACTCACGTCTAATATGAACACAATGCTAAATATTTGTTAGAGATACTTTTATTCCCGGGTCAAAACTCCATGAAATATTTTTAATAATAACGGTAATACCCTGTGCGTATTCTGTAAATAACAGGGTTATTATAACAATAAATGGTATGCAGATTCCCTGAGAATAGCTTTGATAATATAATATTACATAAACATTATGTAATACAAGGCTATAATAGTTATTAGAGTTTATGAATTAAACAAAGTTTCAATTCTACTGAAATCTATGAATTGAAAAACTAGCGTAAAAGTTGATAAATATTTCAGTGATAATCTGTATGTAGACTACAGATTAAACTATTCATAAAAGGATCTAAACATTTAGTAAAATATTTTAAAGTTTAAAAAACTTGGACTTTATTGGTATAGAGACTTGTTATATAAGTGTAGCCCATATAAGGATTATTGTTGTGAAATATTAATCTCTTTTATATACGAATAAAATAAATAAATTCAGATCTAGTTTGATATGGACTTTAAAGGCAAAAAAGTTTGAAACATAAAAACATGTTTTTTCTCATAAGTTCTCAATTCAATGCATTCATTCGTTTTATTTTATTTCAATTCATCAAAAACTTGTCCAAATATTCAAAATACATGTAAATTATTGAATCTGAAAATTAAATGTAAACGTCTATTCATAATATTCATAAAATTTTTATTTTATTATTATTTTTATTAAAAATATAAAAATTATTGAATTTATTCATCGATTTCTAAACATTGAAAATCACAAAAATTCCCTGAAATACAGTATAATGTGCAATAATATCCTGAAGTATACTCACAAAAGTTTTTTACAATACAGTATATTGTAATACAAAATCAGTGACATTATCGTAAAAAACAAATTACTTTTTGAGAGAAAAAAACTGATTACATCTTACACTTCAAACAAAAAATGTTTTTGTACTCAAAAGCTAACAAATAGACAAATACTAGTGATTACAGCATCGGATGAATCACTGGTTTGGTATGAGAAGTGCTTTTTGTGGTGAAAGTCACTTAAGGCTGAGAGGTATGTGTTTATAAAGACATTACTCGTTTCCCTTAGCCTTAGGGCAGTCTACAAATGGTAACCAAAAGATTAGTAGTTTTGCTGTCATTTCTCAGTGAATATAACGGCATTGAGTGGCAGGTAATGGACAGCCGTTGGGATGGCTGTGGAAAAACCAACACCGCTTTGATTTCAAATGTTTATCCGTATCTGTGGTGCCATTTGTGGTGACATCGATGGGTTTCGGTCGAGTGAACCCAATTATACCTCCGCTTACTATTGGACCGCAAAATAAAATGAATAAAATTTTAAATCAATTTTTTTCGTATAGTGTTTTCCGATGGCATAAAATTTAGGGAAAAGTACTCTAAACTATTTTTGTAGGCATTGTTTGGTTGTTATGTTAATCATATAAAACACTTTTAGATTTCATGTCATTTACATTAGTATTATCTCATCTGATGCCTATCTGTCTGTCAACTACCTGTGCTAACAACCACTTCCCACCACACAATTGATACATAAATTTCCGATTATTTATATAATTTTATAGTAAATGCATAACATTTTACCTGTAATAATAAATGCAATAAAAACACTATTCATAAAAACTTTTAAAAACAAAGTTTTCTATTTTATAACAAAAAATATTTGAAATTACTTTTTAAAATCAAATCTTAATAATTTGATATAAAAGTCTCAAATAACAGTCAAAAGTATGTTTAATGGGAAAGATTTCAGTCGTGTAATGCATTTAAGAGATAATTAAAATCATTAATAATAAATGGTGTGAATTAAATATTAAGCGGAAATAAATGATAATAAAATTTTCGTGACTTTTACACAATACTACCAATACGTTGAAAAAAATCTAAACTTTCAAACTAGACGTTAAACTCGAAACCAAATGTTTGACTGATTATAAAGAATTCAAAACAAATGTCATATAATTGTTATGAATTCCTTAATTATGATCAAACAGTCAAAAAAGGGGTTCAAAACAGATGTTTGCCAAAAACATATCCACATTTAAATTCAGTTTAGGGAACGGGGTGTTAGGCAATGTATGAGTCACACAAATAGGTTATTATAAAAAAGTCGATTATCTAATGCATGCACTTTTACTTTAATATACAAAAATGTATTAAAAAGTGTTCCCCAATAACCTCAATGCAAACCTAAACGCGACCTTCACTTACATAATAAGCGATAATAAATACATGAAAATAAAGTCTGACTAATACTCTCGTAAAAACTATTTTTAAATCATTCATTCATTTAGTCAAATGTATGACTCACTCATTGATTTAAAATTGTAAAATTTTTGCCTTTTATGTGATAATCAGATTTTTAAATAAATTTTCAATTTATTAGCACCGGTAGTATGAAGTCACGTTCAATTTATGGAGAAATCATTGCGAAGCGTATATTTTAATTACGAAAATACCTTCAAAAATGTGTTTATTATTCCTGAGCAAAGTCTGTATTCCTCCGCATTGGCTCTTCATGTGAGTCAACATATCGGTGGTCAACAGCTTCGGTATGGAACCGATGGTTAGATTCTCATTGCCATCGAGTAATTCATTGGCAATGATAGTGACAATGGCTTCAATCACATCCTTTGGTAGTCGAGAGCAGTTGCGAACGGTTTCCACTTTATCTCTGGGCTTATAGTCATTGAAATCTTTCAGTTTCTCATTAATCAATGTCTTCCTCTTGACTCTCATCTCATTTTCCAGACTTTTATCATAATTCCTTTGATCGCAAATAATACAAATCCTTTTCGTGGACGGAATCCGGAGTTTATCTACTTTTGGCTCAAAGCCTAACTGTTGACACACTGTCTGCAAGTACTGTATGTAACAACTATATTGACTCAAATTAGATGCAGTTCTTTGATATTTGGATCCATTGAAGTCGAATGGACAGCACGGAAGCAGAAAGGCATTCGTTGAATGGCTAGAGTTTGCGGCCATGTATGGGATCCTAAGCATAGATAACAAACACATATAAATCACTCTAATTATGTCAATTGGTATTCAAAGTTCATTAATATTGTCATTAAAATTGCTGTCAATATTGATGTTTATGTGCAAAAGAGTTGTAATCTAATCTGAAATCATAGTCAACCCTATTATTAGAACCAGTAGTTAGTAGTGAAGGACATTCAATGTAATTAACTTTATGTTCAATTCAATAATAATTATTACTTCATACTATAATTACATTCAATCATTCAATTATATTTAAATATTTGTCATTTAAATGGTTTATCAATGCATACCATGGCGTCAACTCATCGGAATGGTTGCCAATCAGCCACTCGTAGTCACCAAAGAGATCCCCAAGAGATTCGTCGGACGGAGTGAACACTTTCTCCACTAAATCCACTTTCGGCTCATATTTATCCCAAATATTTCTTCGCCGCAAATCGATTCCCAGCCCTTTGTAGCCCTCATTGGTTAACAGATAGACTAGTAATCCATTTCCGCATCCAATGTCCACAAACGACTGCTTTCTTGTCTTATCCTTATCTCTGGCCTCGTTTTGCTGTTCCCACAGAACGATAAGATAGGACGCGATCGCTATGTCTTCAAACACAAACTTCAGCGGATCTGTTGTCTCGTACTTTCGCCACATTTGCACCAATTGTTGGCCATATTTCCGCTTCAGACGATTGTATGTAAGACAGTAGTGGTCGACACCAATCAACTTGAGGGAGCCTTTCATCTCTTTGCCCTCCAGTTCCTGACGCATCCATTGACGCAGTTTTGGGACCACTTTCTCATCCAACCAAACATTGGTCTCATTTGCCAACAAATATTTTAATTCAATTTCTTGGGTGTCGTTGAGAAACAACTCATGACTACATTCGGGTATTACATGACTGTCGGTGGCTTTGGGTACAAATACTACCCGTGCGTTCGGGATATCAATCAACACAAAATCAATCACTTGTGAGGTATTTGTATCGCAATCTGTGTTCAAATTCTTAAGGCTTAGCTTCGGAAGCAGATGTCTAACGATGAGAGTCTGGCCCTCAAGACACCTGATTCCTGACAATTGAAAGTCACTTAATTGTTTGCTTTCCGGGAGTTTGCCTTTGAGTTCATCGAGTGAACAGTTTTGCATTAAATCACAGATTGTCTCAAACGGGTCACTGATTTGCCAACAGTTAAGGGCACAGCAGCCCATTAAGCGCTTATTGATTAGGTTCGGGCGCTCGATGTACACAAACAATGAGCTCCAGAATGAGGTCATTGGATCCATCACTGGATCAGACATTGTCATCGACATCACACACACAACTAAATCACTAATCAAACACTAATTCACTTATAGATAATATCAGATAATCATTTAGTATGTGATTATTACAGGTAATAGTTCACTAAATAGAGAGTCAATCATTAGTCAATTATTTTTTCAAAAATCAAATGATTAGTGAACTAAACAAATATCAATTGAAATTCTGTGTCCAATAAAAATTCTCACACAAAATGTCTTAAACACAAACTATGGCTTCAGAAGCGTCGGTAAAACACTAAATACAAGAGATATCATAAGAAATACAGCGATTATCTCCGGAATACAGTAACGTATATACGGTATACTCTTCAGACGGTATCTACTGGACAGACACTCTCTGCTGATCAGCATCCGTGGTCTCCGACCTCTTGGCGGCGTCTATAGAGCTCTGTTTGACTTTGTAATCATTGAGCGCCGCTTTGATGGCATCCTCGGCCAGCATAGAGCAGTGCAACTTAACGGGAGGCAGACACAGCTCTTTGGCGATAATGGTGTTCTTGATCTCCAGAGCTTCGGCCACAGTCTTCCCCTTCACCCACTCGGTGGCCAAAGAACTGGAAGCGATCGCCGATCCGCAGCCGAATGTCTTGAACCTGGCGTCAACTATTTTGCCACTTTCATCCACTTTGATCTGCAGTTTCATGACATCACCACACGCCGGTGCGCCCACCAAACCGGTGCCCACCCGGGTCTCGCTCTTGTCGAAGGAGCCCACGTTTCGCGGGTTCTCGTAGTGATCGATCACCTAATGGTTCCCACGAAAAAGATATCAGTGGTTAGACACTCGCGAGTAGTAAGACACCTATCGATTGGTTGCTATATATACATACCTTTTCGTGGTATAGGCGCTGATTAGCCGGCGCTGACGGTCGCAAGTCTTGGATGAGTCTGCGAGCGGTCGCCCGAAACATTCCTCCGCAGCGAAGATACCAATGAATGGGATGTGTGGATGGGATTGAGGGCACAAATGAATGGGTAGTTTGCGGTGTGTTTTGCACTCAAATGTTGATCACAATTACAAATATCCGTTAATAACAGTAACAGTCATGCGATTAACGACTGTTTGTGTTGTGTTTGTCTCTGCAATGCAAACGTAATGCTAATGAAATCAAAAGTACGATTCAATGTATCCGCGACCATATGACTGCCATCTATGGGATTACTACTCACACACTGAGAGATAACGTTACGATTAAACGTGGGGTGTGTTTGTAGTTGTGGAGGGGTTTCGCGTAGACGTACAGTAATAGTGAGCCGATAGGGGGCTATGCGATGAAAATACCGCTAATTTAACAATTATTTTAAACGCTATTTACGTATGGATTTAAAGGCCACTGTTTTTGAAAAAAAAACTTTGACTCAAAGATTGATCACATGTTTTGATTTGACACCACATTTGAGTCGATTATCACTGAATTGATCCATTAGTCTACTATCACCCGAACAGATCCTTGTCACCGATGGCCCAAACAGCGCACACCGTACTGCTGGTCCAGGCCAGTGGTCTCGACACCAGACAATACTCAGACTACGACAGCCTTAACGACGCCCTCCAGGGTATGTCCGCCACTAACACATGGATGGTATGACCACATATCTAACCCATTGTCTTATCACCTCTTTGTTATGTCTATTGACTCCATTGACGGCCGTATGGTTACCACGGATCGATTGGATGACTGTATGGATATCCATTGGCCACGGATTGCAGGCATTTGTCACATGTATGAGCAGCACCTGAAGAAGATGTTCCCTTTAGACACGGAAATCCAATACGATTTGAGTCAACTCTTTGAGTACATCGACGCGTTGACTGACTTAAGTCTACTGGTGTTCAAGAGGGCCACCCATTCATACGCCCCGCAGACCAAGGAGTGGATTAAGGAGAAGCTGTATATGTTGTTGAGAACGGACACCAATAAGTCCGACGGCTGAGCGCATGGCTCCCCCTCCAAGAACTCACTGATCTGATCCCTATCTGGTCCACACATGTGTTCGCTATGTTTTTGCATTCATTATGTTTTGTTGCCATTTGTTGTATCACTACTTTTTTGTACATCAAACAGATTATCCTATTTTAGATTATTATGACATTATATTAATCGTTGCATTTTGATATAACGTTTACTTAAGATTTATAATTATACGGTAATTAAACTAATTATGTTTTGAAATAAATATTGAAAATAAAGTGTTAATTGAATTAAAAGAGATTAAACAAAATTGTAATTATTTTAAGTTTAAATCATTGCAATTTGCATTAGAAATTGAGATAAGTTATCAATATTTTGAACAATTGATACCCGAATTACCTGTCAGAGAATTGCATGCAATACAAAGCCATAATCAGTGATCAGGGTATAGTCTCTTGGTTCATAATTGCATACAAAGTATTTTAAGTATTAGATTTTTTTAATCAGATTTAGTCAATTAAATACAATAATAATTGTATTGAATACTCATTATATCTTTAATAGTCTTATCAAATCACTTGACATTTCTATGAGAATGTTATAATTCATTAAAAAATCGATTCAATTCTATAATTAAATTCATTTATCGATAAGTTGTCTATAATTCATGAACTGAATTGCTATCAATTATTTCATATAGAAAATGAAGCCAATATTTGTGGCCTTAATTTTTACATTAATTGCCTTTAAATGTGTCTTAAGTTTCAAATATTATTACATCACAAGCGATGGGATTATCCATTCAGATGTCAATCGTGGTATAGGCGCTGATTAGCCGGCGCTGACGGTCGCAAGTCTTGGATGAGTCTGCGAGCGGTCGCCCGAAACATTCCTCCGCAGCGAAGATACCAATGAATGGGATGTGTGGATGGGATTGAGGACACAAATGAATGGGTAGTTTGCGGTGTGTTTTGCACTCAAATGTTGATCACAATTACAAATATCCGTTAATAACAGTAACAGTCATGCGATTAACGACTGTTTTGTGTTGTGTTTGGTTCTGCAATGCAAACGTAATGCTAATGAAATCAAAAGTACGATTCAATGTATCCGCGAGCATATGACTGCCATCTATGGGATTACTACTTACACACTGAGAGATAACGTTACGATTAAACGTGGGCTGTGTTTGTAGTTGTGGAGGGGTTTCGCGTAGACTTACAGTAATAGTGAGTCGATAGGGGGCTATGCGATGAAAATACCGCTAATTTAACAATTATTTTAACGCTATTTACGTATGGATTTAAAGGCCACTGTTTTTGAAAAAAAAACTTTGACTCAAAGATTGATCACATGTTTTGATTTGACACCACATTTGAGTCGATTATCACTGAATTGATCCATTAGTCTACTATCACCCGAACAGGTCCTTGTCACCGATGGCCCAAACAGCACACACCGTACTGCTGGTCCAGGCCAGTGGGCTCGACACCAGACAATACTCCGACTACGACAGCCTTAACGACGCCCTCCAGGGTATGTCCGCCACTAACACATGGATGGTATGACCACATATCTAACCCATTGTCTTATCACCTCTTTGTTATGTCTATTGAATCCACTGATGGCTGTATGGTTACCACGGATCGATTGAATGACTGTATGGATCCATTGGCCACGGATTGCAGGCATTTGTCACATGTATGAGCAGCACCTGAAGAAGATGTTCCCGAAGGACACGGAAATCCAATACGATTTGAGTCAACTCTTCGAGTACATCGACGCGTTGACTGACTTAAGTCTACTGGTGTTCAAGAGGGCCACCCATTCATACGCCCCGCAGACCAAGGAGTGGATTAAGGAGAAGCTGTATATGTTGTTGAGAACGGACACCAATAAGTCCGACGGCTGAGCGCACGGCCCCCTCCAAGAACTCACTGATCTGATCCCTATCTGGTCCACATATGTGTTCACTATATTTTGTTGCCATTTGTTATATCAATACTTTTTTGTATTCATTTTGTACATCAAACAGATTATCCTATTTTAGATTATTATGACATTATATTAATGATTGCATTTTGATATAACGTTTACTTAAGATTTATAATTATACGGTAATTACTAATTATGTTTTGAAATAAATATTGAAAATAAAGTGTTAATTGAATTAAAAGAGATTAAACAAAACTGTAATTATTTTAAGTTTAAATGATTGCAATTTGCAAAGAATTTGAGATAAGTTATCAATATTTTGAACAATTGATACCCGAATTACCTGTCATAGAATTGCATGCAATACTAAGCCATAATCAGTGATTTTCGTATTCATTGAAATCACATGCAATGGTACCTAGATAGTATTGCACCCCCTCCAGAAATTCACATAACATTGCATGCAATGGTATCTAAGTCTAATACTATATGACTATTGGAAATCAAGTGTTATTCGTTCAAAGGCTAATCATTATAAGTTATTTAAATCTAAACAAAAATATTATTTGTCTTGTGATTCATTTAATTGGTCGACAAAATCAATTAATTCTTCACATTATTCCTTATCTAATTCAATATCTGTAAGACCTCTCTCTTTGTAGAATATTGTCATTATTAGACATAAGGTTTTTAAACACTTGTTGTTGTCTTAACTCATATCAGTGTTTTGACATATTACTAAACTATTTACAGTAACTATTTATTAAACACATTTTTTCATTTGAACACATAGGAAAATTTGTTAGCGTTTTTCAGTCGAAATTCAATTTATATTTAAATAAATATCTTGTTATTTTTACTTTTGACTCATTAGTGCAATAACTCATTTGGCAAAGAATTGACCCAAAATAGAGTGCAATACTACTTAAACTAGGTAATATTGCACCCCGTCTTAGAAAGTTAGTAGTATTGAATGAAATTGTATGACAGGTAATTCGGGTATAGTCTTTTGGTTCATAATTGCATACAAAGTATTTTAAGGTTTATTAGATTTGTTTATCAGATTTAGTCAATTGAATACAATAGTAATTGTATTGAATACTCATTATATCTTTAATAGTCTTATCAAATCACTTGACATTTCTATGAGAATGTGATAATTCATTAAAAAATCGATTCAATTCTATAATTAAATTCATTTATCGATAAGTTGTCTATAATTCATGAACTGAATTGCTATCAATTATTTCATATAGAAAATGAAGCCAATATTTGTGGCCTTAATTTTTACATTAATTGCCTTTAAATGTGTCTTAAGTTTCAAATATTATTACATCACAAGCGATGGGATTATCCATTCAGATGTCACTTATAATGAGACAATGGATTTGCCCGAAGAAACAGTAGCTTTACTTATATATGAAAATAATGTCAACAAAACTGGGTATTAATTCATTGATTTAATTTATATTATTTTATAATCTGTTGATTAAATTTGTTGAAAAGTTGGGCGAACTTAGAGTTAAGAACTTATGAGGGCTTCTCGGATGAGATCCAATCATATATGGCTGGAGTTATTGAGGGATACATTACTGGAGAACTAATTCATATGAATTATCGCAATCAGATTGAAGGCTATTGTGAAGATAATACAAAGTTTTGTAAATTACTTAAAGAATTTACTGAAAATAATACTAAATTTGTGGAAACAATGATTGCAAAGAACAAGAATAATGATTATTGGCATCAATTGGATCTCATATACAAACAGATCAATGGATTAGAAGAAGGATACAAAGTGTGGAAAGTCGAGAATAACATTAAAAATACAACCGAAAGAAAGTATTTGAGTGAAATTTTGTGGCTTAATATTGCATATGAATTATCAGGTTTAGAGGACATCTTAACCCCGGAATCAAAGGCTCCTTATGGAAACAATGATTGCAAAGAACAAGAATAATGATTATTGGCATCAATTGGATCTCATATACAAACAGATCAATGGATTAGAAGAAGGATACAAAGTATGGAAAGTCGAGAATAACATTAAAAATACAACCGAAAGAAAGTATTTGAGTGAAATTTTGTGGCTTAATATTGCATATGAATTATCAGGTTTAGAGGACATCTTAACCCCGGAATCAAAGGCTCCTTATCGGGACCATTGCTCGGCAATTGTCAAACCCCTGGCCGATGGGAGCGACCTATTAGTAGCGCACAATACTTGGGAAACATTTGATGCAATGCTAAGAATTATGAAGAAATATAGCTTTGCTTTCAATACATTGCAATCAAATCATACGAAACGAATTGCTGGACATTCCGTATCCTTCTCTTCATCGCCGGGTATTATCTTCTCAGGCGATGACTACTATGTCTTGTCCTCTGGTCTTGTAGTGCAGGAGACGACCAATGAAAACAATAATCAATCCCTATATCAACACATAAAAGCAGATAATATACTCTTTGAGTTCATCCGCAATGTTGTGTCCAATCGTTTGGCCGAATCGGGCAAAGAGTGGACACAACTGTTTGGTCCGTATAATAGCGGGACTTATAATAACCAGTTTATGATCGTTGACTACAAGCTCTTCAAAAAGGGGACAAAAGTGTCTGAATTGGCCGACAATTTACTTTGGATTGTGGAACAGATGCCGGATATCATACTCTCGGCTGATGTGACTCCTATACTCAGAGCACAGGGCTATTGGGCCTCTTATAATATCCCCTATTTTCAAGATATCTACAAAAAGAGTGGTACCGAAGAACAGTCACATAAATACGGACCCTATTATAGCTACAACTCGACGGCTCGAGCGCTGATCTTCAAGAGAGATGAGTCGAAAGTAACTGATTTGAAGACATTGTATTCACTGATGCGTTACAATGACTTCAAAAAGGATCCGTTGTCTGAATGTAAGGTATATAACAAGGAATGCATTCCTCCGTATTCTGCGGACCTAACCATTGCTGCCAGAAATGACTTGAATGAAGCAAAAGGCAGTTATCCTATCTATGACTGGTCTCATAGACCCGAGGGGGCCATCGATGCAAAGATGACAAACGCATCGATGGTTAAGGATCTGGAGATGTTAGCCGTCAGTGGACCAACTGATACACAACAGCCCCCATTCCGGTGGTCGACCAGTGACTTTGATTTGGACCACTACGGTCACCCGGATCTATTTAATTTCAAACCAGTTTATGTCAAGTGGTTTCCAAAAAGTTTTCAAACCGCGGATGACGTATAAAATTATGATAATCATACATACAATGAATGAATGTTTGAATTTAATTTTTAATTTTTAACTAGAAATAAAAAAATTAACAAGCAATATTATTAAGTTAAATTTATTTAAATAAGTTAACTCAAGAATCATTTTCCGCAATATTTGACTTATAGTAATGTGGTTTCAAAATAGGGATTAAAATACTAACTTGTCAAATGAATGTCTGAATTTAATGTTTAATTAAGGCTTATTAATGAGAAATACAAAAATTAACATGCTATATTATTAAGTTAAATATTTTAAATCATTTAACTCAAGAATCTGATTCAATATGACTTACAGTTAATGGTAAATATTTTTGTAATACAATATTTTTGAATTAATACCACATCATGGACTGAATTAGTTTTATAAAAATTATTACCATGCTTAGTTTATCATTAGCTTAGTTCTCCGATCGCCATAATGGGCCACAGAATAGTCCACAGAATATTCCTCTGAAGTGGAAACCAATTGAAAGTGAGCGCCACTGCAGGCCATAGCCATGTGTTCACAAATAACGTACGCCTGAGTGACACGAATTGCATGTCATTTGTATTGCGAGAGGAGTTGTCAGCGAATGTATGATTCACTCAATCAGTCAGTCATTGGATTCAATCAAACCGTTCATCGGATCCCGCGATCAGTGACCACCTCGAGGGCCCACCATTCAGTACCACCGCATTGTCTCCGCCACTGTGTGCCATATATCACCGCCACTTAGCCGTAGAGTGTCTCCCATTACCTCCCGAGTGGTCGGTGTCGAGACAGTCGACAAGTGTTTGTTGAGTTGACCACTGAATCGGTCGGACATTTACCTCTTGGAGGACATCTATCACCCGATAATTGATCCCAGGGTTTGGTGGTTATCACGCGGACAATGATATCAGCCGAAGGCGTGACACAGGAGTCGACCCGACGGTTGGCCACGAAGAAGCAGACGTTAGACGACGCGTACGCCATTCCCGCCAACTTCTTGGAGATCGATGTCGTCAACCCTATCACCCACGGAATCGCTAGGAATAGATACACCGATTACGAAGTCCGCATGAGAGTGAGTTGCCATTCAATGCCGTAATGCTGTTGTATTTGATCCAATGGGTCACCCGTTGCCTACATATACACACCCATCACACCACCAGTCAGTCTCACGAGTTGATTGTCTGTTGTCTTATCACCAATTGGTGACCAAATGATTGTCTTAAAGCCAAGCTTAGAACCCATAAGTCGTTGATTATCTGTGTGTTGAGCTGCCATTTATGTGATCCAATGGTCACTCAATGCATACACAACTCTCGCCACTCATGAGTCAATTGTCAGTATCTTATCACCAATTAGTGACCAATTGATTGCGTTTAAAGCCGTTTGTGAGACCAATAAGTCGTTATCTGTTTGTCTCTGTGTTTTGTTATCAATTATTCAAACGATTTATTTTTGTCTAAAAATTTTTTAGATTACAGTAAATATTTTTATCGGTATATGTATTGTGCCCTCAATTGTTGATTATATGCCACAATTGATTGCAATTTAATGTCATAAGTATTTACCATATCTTAGGGGTCTTTGATTTACAATCAGTTTTTAGAGGCGAATATGTATTTAAGTACTTATTATTGATTTATGACATAAAAAAGCAATTTTTATTTACTTATCACTTGATATGCGCTTAAACACTGATTACAAGAGCGAAACCCATTGCCAGCACTAGAAGTGTGTACTAATTGTTATCTCTATCCATATGTCATACGCATCGCCGCCCGCACCGGCATCTGAAGAGCAATCTACCGGTTTTTAAGCTGAAGGAGTCGAGCGTCAGGCGAAGGTATAGCGACTTCGAGTGGTTGCGGAGCGAACTGGAGAGGGACTCGAAGATAGTGGTGCCGCCGCTGCCCGGGAAGGCCTGGAAGCGACAGATGCCGTTCCGCAACGACGAGGGCATCTTCGAGGAGGACTTCATCGAGGAGCGCCGTAAGGGTTTGGAGCAGTTCATCAACAAAGTGGCCGGACATCCGTTGGCCCAGAACGAGCGGTGTCTGCATATGTTCCTCCAGGAGCCCGTCATCGACAAGAGCTACGTGCCCGGCAAGATCCGCAACACGTAGACGACCTCCCGGTGCGCGATGGCCACTCATATTATCACATATATACAGACATACTATCGATTATATATATATTACTTGTTATTTAAGGTATACTTCTTAACAGACAAAACAGAAACCAATAATCAAATGACATTCGGATTCCATGTGTTGTTTTAAAATGAATATATTCTTACGATTAATGATCGAAATTCTTATATTAAGACTCTTTATGATATAATTATTTTGATTTATGATTAGTTTTTTTTCGTGTCGATGACTTATGTCTTATTTTTTAAAAATCAGTTACAAATTTAATATAAGTTTTTATTTTTTATCGATAAACAGATCAGTGATCAGTGGAGCGAAAGATTAAATATATTTGTTTTTATAATAATGATAAACCGCTTATTATATACAATGAGATGTTTATAACGTGTAAAAATTGATTGATTTTACTATTTAAATGCAATTTATTATGATATATATTCTCCAATCATTTTGTGGACAAATTTTTTTAGTCTTTCTCTCTGTCTTTCTCTGATTATTACTTTTTTTGTCAATTATTTTATTTTATTAATTAATAATAATAATAAACGAAATGAATTTTCACTACTTTTATGGAAACCACAGGGAAAATCATTTTAATTAAAAAGTAAATAAAATGTTTCAAATTTATTGTTAATACATATCGTATTGGTCTTTATTTAATTTTTGTGTACAGTATATACTTTTATTAATGTATAATTTTGTGTCCTTTTTGTCTATTATTTTATGGTTTTTACACGCATTTTGTTTTTTTGTATTGTTTTCCGCGAAACTGCGAGTGTTTTAGCGTTCAACACAAATGGCACTAATTTATTGTGTAATTCATCACAAAATTATAAATTAATTACAATTTCATCGATTCTGTCTCACATTTAAATTATATGACAGCAAAAAATATATGGAAAACAATTGGTGAATGATTTTTATCGTAACAAAATTAATACAAGTAATTCATTGGCGAATAATGAGAGGAATATCTGTTTAAAAATATATAAAATCATATATTTTTCATATTTACCGTAATTATGTACAAATGAGTTTTAATGAATTATATAATAAGTCTTTTTTTTAATAAGTGATACAATAGATTATCTAAAATATAATATAAAATATCAAATGAATAGCCTTTGGTTTAATGATAATCACAGGAACACAGTTTTGGTATAAAACTCTATAAACTTCTCATATATATAAGAAAAATCGGTCTCTCGATTGCAAATTGAATTCAAAATACTTTCATCATTTAAACTAAACTTTATATTTTTGTGACTAAACTTGCGACACGTTTTGCGTGGGCTTTCGTATGATAGTACTATAGCGCGGAACGGTATCACTGGGAGTGTTGGACCGCATGGCCGCGTGCGGGTCCAGAGACGTGCGCTGGTATATCGGCTCGTTATAGCCGTTCGGTATGACATACGAGGGCCGGGCGTTCACGTCGTTATAGCGCCACGCGTTTGGATTCGTGTAGATATTGTCGTCGTCGGACGAGGCATAGGACGGCGAGTGATTACTGGACGCCGACTCCAAGTCCTCGATCCGCATGACGGGAGGCGCCTCCTGACGCTGTTTGGCCTCCTGGACCCGTCCCCAGTGGTTCAGCAGGTCTTTGGCGTCCCACGACTGCACGGGACTCAAGGCATTCACATTCAGTTCCCGTAAGTTCTGTTGGGACCCGGAATTGAAGCCATTATTGAGTTGTGGACCAGAATTATAGCCGTTATTATGACTCTGCAGTGAACCGGAATGGTAGCCGTTGTTCATGTGTTGGGAACCGGTATTATAGGCGTTATTCTGTTGCAAACTGTTTATCTGAATGTTTGGTATCTTTTCGACACTTCGCGTGAGACTCGTGTCGTCCAACAGAATACTCCGGTTTTTCTCCAGTTCTGGTGACACGCGTTGCGGCGGTTCGGGCGCTCGTCGCGCGGGTACCGGTGCCTCGCGTTTGGCTGTAGTCTCTCTGTCCGTGTCGTCTTCTTTACGCCGTCTCTTACAGATACAGCATATGAAGAAAATGCCTATAATTATGAGCACCACTGCACCGCCGATGGCTATCAATAGGATCTCCCACCAGGTCAACGGTCCTACTCCGGAGTTTCCATTTCCTATTACTGATAATTATAAGACATTTGCGTTAAATTAGGCAAAAAATTACACAAATATTTATGTATTTTAGTAATTAAAAGTGCAAATTGAAGGCAAATATTAGGCAAAAACCCATTAGTTGTGAATTAATTGAATGCAATGTAAAACCAAAGTCCAAAAGAGATTAAGTAATCATTAGTTTCTAATTAATGATCGATAGATGTTTGGAAACAAGAATTGAAAGGTTGGTGCCGTGCGAGTCATGCAAAAAAAGGTGTGATTAGGTGAGCCAACAGTGCCGTAACCACTGCGGCCATGGGGGCAATACCTTGATATATGCTAACATCATTTGCAAAAGCGGTTGTGCTCTGAATGATTACATTACTTTTGATATAAGCCAGCACTACATTGGACACAACACTCTCGTATTTGTCGGTGTCGGAGGCCCTGAGAGCCACGTAATACACGCCTCCGGTGTCCGTATTGAACCGGATCTGACATCTCTGCTCTTTGCCGTAACGGTCAGCCATAGTATCGATGGTAACGCTGATGTCGGCGCTGTCCAAGTTGTTAAACTTGGTTCTGATCTCTTGCAGCTGTTTTTCGTCGTCTTCGTGGTTATCGTTTTGATGGAAGGCTTTGATCGTATACTTGTCGGTAAAGCCTGTAGTGTAGTCCCCTCCCGACGCTGTCCACAACAGATTAATAGTCCGGTTCTCGTACTCAACCGACTCTACCCTCAAATCCCTGACCGGATTGGGAGGGTAGTCGTGCTTCGGGTTATCGGTGACGAAAAGTGTGCCGCACTCTAGCTTTCGGCTCAATTTGGTTACACTAAGTGTAATGGAGTCGAGCTTCCCGTCCACTCGTGAGCCACAACAGGCCGTATCACTGGACGTCTTGGGCAGAGAAGTGCTGCCAAAGTTTGTGGTGAAGTCTACCGTACTTTCTATGTTTGCAATGTCGGCGCTCACGGTATAGTAGCCCTGATTTTCTATGTCTGTGATATAGTTGGAGAATATTCCGTCGCCTTTCGTGATGTCCGGTGCGCCCGACCCGTTGTCATACATATCGATGGGTTTTGGTTGACTTCCCTTTGCATCGTATATAACACTCAATTTGACCGAAACATTGGCTATGAGTTCGTCCAGTTTTCTATGAATGTTGACGTAAGCCATGACCGGCCTATTCGTGTCGGTCTTCGGATCAAACACTTGCGTATTGAGCCAACACTGAGCCTTAATAATGGTGTCGTCCACTGAATTGGTGGCAAACTCTGCGACAGCAATCACCGACTCACTGGTGTCCGCGCGAGTGGCTGTTAGTTGAAATTCGCTGGATATATCATCTGACTTATCGATGGTGACAATAAAACCCTGGATATAACCCTGGGTGTCTTTGAAAGGTTTGAGTGTAAAACTTCTTGATAGTTGTCTTAATTTAACACCAGAAATAGGTTTATCAAGTTCAGTATTTGTTCGCATGAAATATACTCTTAATGTCTTTGTCTTAGGACTGTCACCATTCATGAGACTATTGTCGACATTAAACTTGAAATCAATTTCCTTTCCGCCCGAAGGGTCGATATATTTCTGATCGATAATCTGGTAATCATTAGTGAGATCTCCAAAAGCCTTCATAAATTGGTGGGCAGTGCGAGCGGCCACTGAGTCCTCGCGCACGTAGACTACCCGTCCACTCGTCACAGACGCGGCCGTTTGGAAGAGCGGAGACGCAAACACTCTGTTCACGTGGGCGTCAAACGGGAAGACAATTATATTCAATTTGATGCCCTTATTCCTCAACTGTACAGCCAGTGTGCCCACTTTGTCCACGCTATTGGATGTCTTGATCCCGGGTCCACCGATGACTACGACAAATGTGCCCCCGTTTGATCTAACATGAATGTTGCAAAAACAAAAATGTCACAAATGTCACACCTGCATTATACTGCAGCCACTCACTTAATATCGGTGAACATCTCGATCCCGTAGCGCAAAACGTTTTCAAAATCCACGCTCTCAATGGTTTCGGTAGGTTGTTGCAAATAAGGTAACAGATAAGTTTGTGTCCACCTGTTATGTGGCACTATGTCGGTCTCCTCAACGTTAGCGCCCGATGTAAATGTGAACAGCGATACCGACGAGTCGGGGAACTCTGTCTTATATTTATTGAGACCTAGATTAACCCATTTAATGCGATCTTTATAGGCTGTATTAGTGATTATGGCGTTTTGTATGGCAAACAGTGTTCTCATCTCTTTTGCCGCACTATCCGATTGCTTAGCGATTATGACCGTCAGTTCAGGTGTTGAATCCGTTATTCTGTTATAATTGGTATGCATTTCATAATTAATATAATATTCTTTATATAATGTATTTTAATAAATAAGTGCTTAATTTCAGAGTAACATTGTGCACAAAACTAACTTATAATTGCTTATCATTTTTACAAACTTTGCAAAAAAAAGTTTGATAAGTTTTAATATCAAGGACTAAATTGTTTGTAAGATTTTAAAACAGTATTTAGAGAAGTTTTTGCTAAACAGCAATTTATTACTACAGTAGTTTTTGTGTAAAAGGGTTATAAAAAGCATTTAATATTATTTGGATATCAAGCCAAAAATCTTAAAGAAAATACTAATACTTTCCAAAATAGTGAATACCTGTTGGCACTAATACTGTGCTAAGTTACTACTATTTATAATTATGTTATCACATAAATCATATACTGTATAATATACAATACAGTGTATATTGTTTTAGGAAAAGTTTATATTTAGTGCTTAAATTTCTACTCAAATACACTATTC